TAAACAAGATCGATGAACCTTTAGCCAGACTCACCAAGAAACAAAGAGAAAGGACCCAAATAAATAAAACTTGAAACAAAAGAGGTGAAGTAACAACTGACACCACAGAAGTACAAAGGATTGTAAGAAAATACTGTGAACAACTACATGCCAACAAGCTGGACAACGTGGATGAAATGGATGAATTCCTGGAAAAATAAAACCTTCTAAAACTGAATCAGGAAGAATCAGAAAACTTGAGGAGGCCAATAACAACTGATGAAATTGAAGCAGAGTTTTGTAACATAATACCCCAAATGCCCAGGATGCAACAAAATACTTTTATTATACCAAGAACCAGGAAGATCATTTGAACAACAAAAGACAGTTAACAGACATTAACAAACTGATGACAAGATGTTAGGATAATCTGACAAAGATTTTTTATTATTATTTTAAATTTTATTTCTGTTTAAAATATTACAGATGTTCCTTTTTCTCCCCATCTGACAAAGATTTTAACGTGGCCATCATAAAGATACTTTGAGGAGCATTACAAAAATGTTTGAAATAAATAAAAATAGAGTCTCAGCAAAGAAACTGAGGAGATAAAGAAACAAATGAAAATTTCAGAACTAGAAACATACAGTAATCTAAAATTTAAAAATTCACTGAATGGGCTCAAGAGTAGAAATGAGTGGACAGAGAATAATATCAATGAACTTGAAAATAGCACAATGTAAGTTATTCAATCCTAATGACAGAGGAAACAGACTAGAAACAAAAACAAAAAACATAGCCTCAGTTACTTTTGGAACTATAACAAAAAATTTAATATTCATATCATCCAAGTTCAGAAGGGAGAGGAGAAAGAAGATGGGCCTGCAAAATCTTTGAAGTAGTAATTAAAAATTTCCACATTTAGCAGACATGAACCTGTAGATTCAAGAAGCTTAGTAAATTAAAAAAAGCATAAATCCAAAGAAATTCACACCAGAACACATCATACTTAAACTTCTGAAAACTAAAGTCAAAGAAAAAAATCAAAAGAGGTTAGAGAGAGAAATAACACTTTATTAAATAGAAAAAAATAATTTGAATGAAAGCAGACTTCTCAAGAGAAACCACAGAGGCATTAACACTTATAGGTTTTTAAAAAATCTAGTTGTGTCAGGGGTGGGAGAAACAGAATGGTGGGGACTAGCTATAATTATAAGAAATATTAATTTCTCTGTTAACCGTGATTGCTTTGTTTTGATTAAAGAAAGCATATTCTGACCTGGCTGGGAGTTGTATGCACTGGGACATGGCAGTTAATTTCTATTTTAAGAATGTAATCCTGGAGAAATTGTTTGATTCAAGGTATTTGTCTTAGTGCAGAGATAGATTTTTTTACTTAGTTTGTTTGGTATTATCTGGGTTACGTTAGCTTGATTAAATGAATTGTGAAGATTTTTCATATTTCTCAATATTTTGAAATAGTTCAGACAATTCTCAAAGAGAAATAGCGACAATGAAAACATATTTTATTCAGTACTATTGTCAACAGGGGAGAGAGACTTCAGTAAAACCAAACACAACTTCCATTACAACAAAGACAGATGGGGATTTACAGCAAACAAGCAGATTAAGAGGGTCAGTGGATAGAAAATTACCAAAAGTAGACAGCAAGTTTGGGGGGACTCTTGCTAAAGAAAGGCAGGCCACAGATTTAGATATCAAGAGTAGGGGATTAGGAATTTGATCAGATATTAAGAATGGGGATTCTACCTAAATTGATTTAGCAGGATTCTTGCTAAAACTGAGCTCTACAGGCCAAGGACAAGGCTCAGGAACCAGGCCTACTAGAAAAGAGGGCTCAGAGAAACCTGTCTAAAGTTTGGTTAAGCGTTGAGTCTTTTTTTTTTTTTTTAATATATCTTTATTGATTTCATAGAGAGAAAAGGAGAGGGATAGAGAGATAGTAACATCAATGATGAAAGAGTCATTGATAGGCTGCCTCCTGCACGCCCCCAACTGGGGACCCAGCCCGCAACCCCGGCATGTGCCCTGACCGGGAATCCAACCCCAAGCGCCTGGATCCTGGGTCCAGGCTCAACCGCTGAGCCACGCCCGCCCGGGCAAGGGTTGAGTCTTTGTCACAGCAATAGAAACAGAAGAAACCAGCAGTTATTTTTAGAAAGCCAAATATTACACTCCAAGCTACCATCTGTCCCAAAAGTCATGTACTTCTCCAAGTTCCAGCAGCAGAACTAGCTAAAACTAACTCTGGCCACATATTTAATTGGAGATTCTGTCTGCATTCTATACAGTGAAAATTCTGAAGCCCTTAGAGGAGACTAGGGGAGTGGGTACAGTAACCACCATTCATGGAGTGCCCACTATGTACGCCAGATGTTACTACCTCTTCTACTCATTCTGACAATTCTGCAAGAGGCTCTTTGGGCTCCCTTTACTGCAGAGGAAGAAAGTGAAGCTTAGCCCAGGCTGTCAGCTCCTTCTCCCCTTCCCATGGATCAGGCACTGTCATGCTCTAAGGAAGGGCTTCTTTAGCGTAGTTTGGATAAAGTCTCAGTACACACCGCTCCCAGCTTGGCTAGCCGCAACCCCATGCACCGGAGCCATTCTGGGAGTCCACGCTGTCTGTTCGCCCCTCGCTCGCGTGGAAACCCCACTCCCCACCACTCTCACCACACACTCGGGCCTGCGCCTACGCGCTACCGCCTCCTCGGGCCTGCGCTTGCGCACTCCGACGCACGCGCCGCTGCCCAGCTGCCTGTTGGGAAATGTAGTCCTGTGTCCCTGGGAGGAGGCGGGCGGGATGGTGTCCGCATTGGCTGTTCGGGCTCATGCTGGGTGAGGGTTAGTGCTGGGCAGCGTCTGGACACGTTGTCTGGCCGCGCTGTCCGCCTGGGGAGGCCCGGACGCCCGGACAGGACGAGAGCTGGGCCACGCGCGAAGTGAGGTCGGCGGCGGATGGATTGGGGCCGCGTCCTGTGGCACCCTGCGCAGCGCCGGGCCGCTTGTTCCAGGTGCGCCCCATTTCGCCCCGGGAGCCGGGCTGGGCGGGGGGTTGGGGGGCACCGGGAGCCGAGGTTTACCTGACCCGGTCCTTCCCACACCTGTCTCAGGAACGGCGAGGGCGGGCGTGGCGCTGCGGCCAGGGTCCGAGGGCCAGTGCGGGACCATGGCTGGGTTCCTCCCGCCCCGGAATGTTCCCGGGTCCCGCTCGGCACTTGGGGGATGCTGGTCCTGGTGCGGGGACTCCAGGCTCCAATTTGCCCTTTGTGTAAACCGCACCTCTGTGTGCGCCCGCTTATAGCTGATTCCGAGGGGCGCGGCGGGGGCTTTCCTTGACCCATTTCTTCGTAAGAATGGGAGGCCAACCCTGAGCAGGTTCTCTGCCTCAGGGAATCTTTTTCTCTTTCTTTTTTATTTTTTTTTTTAAAGCATTTTTTCCCTCTAACCCCCCCTCCCAAATAATAATAATAATAAAACCACAATAGGACAACTAGTAAATTCAGAGGAGCAAAAAGGAAAAAAACATTTGCAAACTGTCAAGATCTGCATGTTGGCATGTATATGTGTATGAACATACAAACTCTTTGTTCTTAAAGATACAGGCATTAATACCTTTTTGTCAATTTGCTTTTAAAAATGGGTTATGAAATACATTTGGTAAGGGGTTTAAAATGCACAAATCTTAAGGTCTGTGGTTTTTATATTTTTGTCCACTTAATCAACATGGAGAATAAATCTTTAAAAAACGTTAATATTGAAAACATACTGATTTTTAAAAATAGCTAAGCTGTCATTTTAATGAATGTGAGGAAAAAGTATGTCTGTGCCATACTTAATCTTATCTTTAGGCCTTCAAGTTTTGTTTTGCTCTGTTTCAGTATCATCAACAATACAGGCCACCTGGCAACATATATCTTTGCATTCTTGTCTCATTCTTTAAATTTCTTATAGTGAAATTTCTGGGCCCTATTATAAGGTTTTTGATACTTCTTGTCTTATTCTCCAGAAAAGTAGCAGTTCTAAAAATTTGCAATGTAATCGTGCTTGAATGACCCACCTCAAAGCTGGGCATTACTTAACTATTCTCTAACTTTCTGAGAGGTGCAAATGATAGGGTTGTTTAATTTGCATTCTGAATACTAATGTATATTTTTATGCAGTTTGTATTTTGTCTTAAAATTTTCTATATGATACACAGGTGTGTTTCCTTACTATGCAGAAATGTCACATCTTCGCCTGGTCAGACATGAAAACCTTCCCTTTAAGCTTGGGCCTTTGGCATCATTAGGCCTCTAGTCCAATGCTCATCTGCATTTTCTTCTAGTTCTTTAGTTGCATTTTATGTACAAATTTTTATTCTTTTTACAAATGGTAAACCCTTGTTCCAAATTATTGAATAATTCATCCTTTTTTCACTGACCTGAAGTTCACTTTTTCATATCCTGAATTCTTATATATAATTTTTTTGTCTGAACTGTTTGTGTTGGCAGGATTTTTATTTGTTCCATTGACTTTTTTTCCCTATTAGATTATAACATCCAGGTGGGCAGAGAGATTATCTGTTTTGTTTGCAGCTGTATTCACCCCCACCCCCTCCAGAGGAATGGTGCCTGGTACACATTAGGTGATAACAATGTGTCTGGTGAATGAGTGATTCTGCCATTCAATAACATTAGGTCCTAATTATCGTAGCTTCATAAAATCTTGTGGGCAAGTTCTCGCTCATCACTATTCCCTTGCAGAAATTTCCTGGCTGTTGCTATACGACACAATTAAATTTTTAAAAATAGCATCTTTTTCATAATTAACTTAAAAAAAAATCTTTATTAATTTCAGAGAGAGGAAGGGAGAGGGAGAGAGAGAGAAACACAATGATGAGAGAGTCATTGATCGGCTGCCTCCTACAGGCCCCTGACTGGGGATTGAGCCCACAACCCAGGCATATGTCCTGACCCGGAATCGAACTGCGATCTCCTGGATCCTAGGTCAATGCTCAACTGCTGAGCCACGCCTGGCCGGGCCATACTTAACTTTAAAATATTTGTTTGGTATAATGTGATTGGGAATGTGTTAATTTAAAAGAAGTGGCAGCTTAGGATATTGTGACATACTACCCAGAAATATGCTATGGCTGTTCATCTTTCTTCATATATGTCAAATAAGCTTAGTAAAATAAACTTAATAAAAATCATAAATTTCTTTATGTAGATCATGTACATGTCTTACTTGCTTTATCTATAGGTATTTTATTTGTTGTTGTTGCAGAAGTCTCCTTTTTCATGGCTTCTTTTCCTTCCATCAGCTCTGCCTCCTCTTCCTGCCCATCCCCTAGGAAGGACCCCACAGGAAGGACGGAGAAGGCAATGGCTATTGGACCTCTATCATCGGGAGCTCAGGTGAGCTCATTTTTCAATCTCAAACCTCTCCTTTACTCCTTACTCCTGTACCGTATGTGGGTGTCACTGCAGAGGACAGGGCTATTTTTTTTTTTTAATATATCTTTATTGATTTCAGAGAGAGGAAAGGAGGGAGAGAGAGAGAGAGAAACATCAATGATGAGAGAGTCATTGATCGGCTTCCTAGCCCACAACCCAGTCAGGACTGGGAATCGAACCCCGATTGCCTGGATCCTTGGTCGATGCTCAACCGCTGAGCCACGCCCAACCGGGCNGCCCACAACCCAGTCAAGACTGGGAATCGAACCCCGATTGCCTGGATCCTTGGTCGATGCTCAACCGCTGAGCCACGCCCAACCGGGCGAGGACAGGGCTATTGAATTCTCTGAATGTTGGATATTTTCCACAAAGCTCCCCTCAGTTTCCCTCAGCTCTGTTCTCAGCTGTTGCTTCCTCATTCAGTTGGCCTGTTGAGCTCTTGGTGTTGTTCAAAGGTCAGAAAAGAAACAAGCATCGTATGAGAGATAGCCTGATGCTTACAGGGCTATGGACTCTTCAGGGAACATAAAAAGTCACATCTCTACAAGATACAGTCAGGATGATTGTTCATGAATCTGATAATAAGAACAAATATGGTTAGGTACCCAGATTGTCAGTGTTCCAAGACCTGGAGAAGGAGAAGATCGTTGTGGCAGCCAGGAAAAGTAGGGATGGATAGGGATAATGGGAGAGGATTTGCTGTAATGGAGTCAGAATGTCCCACGTTTATATCATGACTTTACCATTTAACACCTGTGCTGTCTTGGGCAGGTGACTTTGTTCCCTGAAGCATTAGTTCCTCATGGTGGTGGTAGAAATAACAGCATTAACTGAGTGTTTGCCACATTCTTGACACTGGTAAGAATTTCACATGGCTTATTCCATTTAATAACACCTACTTCATAGATTTGTTGAAAGTTCAAATGAAATAATTTAAGTAAAAAGTGCCCAACATGGTTCCTGAGATGTTGAAGACACTTATTAAGTGTAGGCATCCTTAGCACCATTCTAGCCAAGTGCTTGGTATTTAGAGTTTAGAGGTGGAGTGGAATGTAGCATTGACTAGTAGTGAGGTGTCAGATACAAAGTTTGAGTTCAAGTTCCAGGAAGGAGGAGTCTGTCTCTTGGTGAGGTGGTAGGCATGGCGGTAGTGGAGGAGTTGCAGGAGTTTTGATAAGGGAGTTGGCATAAGAACTTTTCTAGGAAGAAGCAGTGTCCACCAGCTAGAGGAAATCATGGAGCAAAAACAGTGAGTGAGGAGCCTTGGTGTTTTTGCACTGATTGCTTTAAAATGGAAGGTGCTAGTTTTTACTAGAATCTGGAGTTATTGCTTCTCTGGAAAAGGAAATAAGACATTAGGGGTACTTGGCCCAAATATCTTTATTTTTTAAGGTTAGGCTTACTTAACCTTGTTTGCAGTGCTGAGGACTTGCAGTGTTTTCTCTATTCATTAGATCATGTGTTAGGCTCTCTTAAATGTGTCACTTGTTTATTTAGCAGAGGAACCAGTTTTGTTTTTTTAAATTGATTTTAGAGAGAGGTAGGGAGAGAGAGAAACATCCATCAGTTGCCTCGAACCCACCATCTTCTGGTGTATGGGACAACGCTCCAACCAACTGAGCCACACCGGCCAGGGCCCAAAGGAGCCAATTTTAAGAAGGCTTCATGAAGACAAGTATCTCTCCTTGATATTATCAAGCTCAGTTATAAAAGGCAACATAACTCACAAAAATAGATATTAGAGAAAGGGAGTTTCTAGAAGGTTTAAAGGGGGAGCATTTAGAAGATTTTGGCTGATGAAGGTTGTGGTTTGGTTGTCACTAGCCTTGATTTGTTTTATTTAGTTAAAATAGTGTTAATTATGTTTTTATATCAGCTTTTTTTCAGGTATAATTTATATAAAATAACCTACTTTGAGCTTATTTATAGTTCTTTGAATTTTGACAAATGCGCTACTTCAGCGAAGCTGTAGGACAATTTCATCACCCAGCTGTCCTCACCCCCTTCCAGTCCACGTCCCCTGTCCCAGTCACTGGTTTGATTTCTGAATACTTCAGTGTATCCTAAAAACAAGTCCCTTGTTTTACGTAACCAAAATACAGTAATTAAAATGATGAAACTTAAAATGATACAGTACTGTTACCTAATCTGGGCATGGGACAGCAGGCACGAAGACCTGCAGGGGTTGGCATGGTGGTGTTTGAAGGGAAGAGTGCAAGGAGATATGAAGATTTTTTGAACTTTATCTTTCAGTCCTGTAAAAAAATGTTTCTACTGTCATATATATATTTTTTATTTCTATGAGCCTTCTCATTCTTTTTTAATAGCTATTTTAATGCATGCATTAACTTCTCTTGTCTGTATGAGGATATTTAAATTATTTGGGGTGTGTTTTTTTGGTATGAGTGTGTAGCATTTTTCCCCTTGTTCCCTAGGTTATTCTAGTGGGTTTATATAGGCCTTTTTCATTATCCCACTGTCATTCTGGTGGGTTTTCTGGAAGCAGCAGGACAAACACATGTATTCTTGACACTTTGTTTTCCTCTCTCATTTCTTTACCTGTCTTCAGACTTCTCTATCCAGCTGGATCCTAAAGATTCTTCACTTGTTTATGACTGCATTTCACACTTTGTTTTCCTTGTGTCTTTGAATGTCTATCTAGCTACTAGTATGTAGGCCCATTGTCATGACTGAGCTTACTTTTCTTTATATCCTCTGCCTGGCATAATACCTGCCAGAGGAGGTATTTAATATATGTTTGTTGAGTTGAATATTGAATGACATCAAGTAGAATTTTTAGAAATCAGGTGAAAAGACAGATTTGAGAGTTATATGTGATATTCATATCATTTTGTCTTATTAATTGTGAGAAATAAGGGCAAAGCAGCAAGGATGGAACCCTAAAGAACAATAATGTTTGACTGGGATCCAAAGATACTCTAGTAAAGGTGACAAAAGTGGTCAAAGAAGGAGGAGAGAATTTAGGGAGAGCTGGGGCAAGGGAAGAGAGAAAAGTGCAGGGCAAGTGCAGCAGTGCCAAGAGTGTAATGAAAAGTGGTCTGGGACCCAGGGAAGAGCACTTCTGTTTGAGGGAAACATTCTGTGGGTTGAAGAGTAAACGATTAAAAACTTAAGTATAGACTGTCATTTCAACAAGGTTAACTTTGAGGAAAAGAAAGAAAGGGCAAGAACTGAAAGAACTCAGAGGTAGTAGAGTGTTTCCAATTTGTTTTTTACCAAGGAAGAGACTTGAATGTATTTACAACAGCGGAGATACCTGTTAGAAAGGAGAAACTAAAAGGAGGGAGAGCATGGAGCCCAGAAAACACAATGATGTGCAAACTCCAGGTCTTCTTTCCAGATTTTCTTCGATGTTGCTGCCAGATTAAGCTACCATTTAGTCTTATTGTCCTGTCCAAAACCAAGATAAGGAAGCATCGCTTGAGTGCTGTGCTTGGCTCTTCCCTGGTCATCATCTATCTGATGTATTTATAACAATCCCACAGGGTAGGTATCATTAGCCCCTTTCACAGTGGAAGAAATAAACTCAGAGAGGTGAAATGACATGCCAGAATTTAAACACAGGTTTTTTGTTTTGCTTTTGTCTTGAGTTTAACGCTAATTCTAAAAAAACCCCATTATTTTCTTTCCTTGCCTTGCTGTGACTTCTTGTTTCCTGGTATATTTAGTGAAAATAGAACTTCTGCATTCTGGCCTAATATTCTTTTTAGATGATTGTTTTCTGTTTCTGTGCTAAAGTTTTCATGTGTACAGTTGTTGAATGCTTTGTTAGATTTTGCTATTTTATCAAAGCTGAGTAGAAAATGTAAATTTGGAAGTGCTGTTTCTGGAGACAGTATTATCACTAATAAACTCATTAACATTGAAACAAAGATGGAAATTATTAGTAATGTGGAAAGCAGTGAATTTTTAGCCTTTAATCAGTAGTCATTTGACTTAAATCAGCTGATGTTCAGTTTTGAGGGAAACAAATTAAGAGCATGTATAAAATATTAGAAATATAAAAGATTATGCCTAAAAAATAAGGTACAGTTAGAGATTATATAACATTTATTTTTTATTTTTTATTTTTTAAAAATATATCTTTATTGATTTCAGAGAGAGGAAAGGAGAGGGGGAGAGAGAGACAGAAACATCAATGATGAGAGAGTCATTGATCGAGCCCACAACCCAGGCATGTGCCCTGACTGGGAATCGAACCCCGATAGCCTGGATCCTAGGTCGAGGCTCAACTGCTGAGCCACGCCCGGCCGGCAGAGATTATATAACATTTAAAGCTCTCCAGAAAGCTACTGTTAACTACCCGTAAACTGGGAAACTTATTATTTGTGTTTCGTACATGATTTTGTTTCATTCTCAGAGATGTACTGAGTAACTACCTGTGTGTGTATTTAGACACACACACACTCAATTTATATACTGTTATAGAGAAAAGACTGTAATAAATGTAGGAGTATCCAAAAGTTTGTTCATCTTTGCACAGGCAGTCAGTCCAGCCCTGCCTCAGGGCATCAGCACGGGCAGTTTCTTCTTTCTTGGGTGCTCTTTCTTCAGTAGGCCTGTGACTCCTCCTCCTTAGTCCTTAACATCTTTGCTTCAGTCACTTTCCTTTCCTGAAGACTTTATTTAAAATTACAAACCTTTCCCCTCACTCATTATATTCCCTATTTCCATTTTATTTTTATTTTTTCCATAAGGCATACCACTTAAATAAGTATTATACTTATTTATTATGTTGACTGACCTTCCTCTCACTAAAATATAAGTTCCTTAAGGGCAGAAATGTATTTTATTCATTGCTTTAGCTTTAGCACCTGGAAGAGTGCCTGGCTCAATGTACATTTATTGAATGAATGATCATGTTCAGAAGAGCATTCTGGCTGCTGCGTGGAGAATGCATTTAGGATAGCTAGAGTGTAAGCAGGAAGTCCAATCAGGTGAGTATTGAAATAGTCTGGTAGAATGGGAGGAGTAGCTGAAATATTACACAGGGGATGGAAGAAATATAAAATGGGAAAAGAAATAAACTTGTCCTAGGAAGAGTGAGCCCTGCTGCCCAAGCCCCATACCTACCCCAATACTTTGCAGGCTCAGCCTTTACTGTGGCCAGTCTCAGCCATAAATACTGAAGGACCTGTGCTTTCCCAGATCCCACAGTTCTGGGGATACCTGTTCATGTCTTGATGAGTACCAAAATAATATAAATCCTATTCTTTAACTAGGCATTTTAATAAAATAAGGGAGTATAGGCTACCACTTAAAAGTCCTGTTTAGAAGAGGAAAGGAAGCAAGAGGTATATCTTATATAATATAAAATAATAATGGTAATATTAACAGTTAACAATCATCAAACCCTTATCATGGCAAAGCATAGTGCTATGTGCATTACAGAATTTTTATTTAATAAGATAGCAAAATGGGAAGAAGTGTTGTCCAATCCTGGAAGAGCTAGTTTGACCGTTAGGGCTCAAGTTTCAAGCCCACAGTATTTCACTGATTCTTAGTAAAGCCACCCTAATAGTTTTGTTTTTCAGATAGTCATGTAATTGGAAAAATAAAATTTCCTCCCTTCTCCGTTGTCTGATTTTATTAGTCATACTTTTCGAACAGTATTAAATAGTAGTGGTAATAATAAACACTATTTTCTTGATTCTGTTATTAGTGTGAATTCTTGTGTTTTACTTTTGTGCTTGGTACAGTGCTAAAATTTTTGGTTTTGAATCAGGATTGGCTGTTGGATATTATAAAATACTTTGGAAGCATCTATCAGGTTGATCATATGTCCCTTTTCCATTACCTATTATGGCATTAATAGATTCCTAATAGTGAACATTCTGGAATTCCTGGATAAGTCCTTTGTGTAAATTGAATATTTAAGTAATATTCCAGGAATGCTTTAGGAGTACTTCATTACTGAATCTTTCATATTTAAGAACATGTTTTGGTTTTCTCTGTAAATGTATAAAGTAGTGGCCAAGTTGAATTCTTGAGTCACATCAGCCAGTATTTAAAAAATTTGTAGGTAATTGATTTTTTTCTTAAGGAACAAGTCTTCAGAATAAACTCTTATTTATTTAATTGATTTTTAGATAGAGGGGAAGGGAGAGGGAGAGGGAGAGAGAGAGAGAGAGAAAAAGAAACATTGATGTGAAAGAATCATCGATCAGCTGCCTCCTGCGTGCCCCCTACTGGAGATTAGGCCCACAACCTGGGCATGTGCCCTCAGAGGAAATGGAACTGAGAGTCCTTTGGTGCACAGGACAACGCCCAACCAACTGAGCCACACCGGCCAAGGCCAGAATAAAATTTTAAATTATCTTAAAATTATGATTAAATTATGTGATAATTATCTAAAATTCCATGGAGATAAAATGAATTTTATGATTAAATTTTCTGCAGTACATAATGATGTTTAAACTTTGATTAGTATTTTCTAAAGTAGAAAATATTTTGTTCTCATATTTTTGAAATGTTATATATACAGGAGAATGTAAGATATATATTATTTAACAAAAATCTACATACTCTTCTAATATAAATACTATAATATTAACTAATTTTTGTTCTTATATCAACACTGTGAGATAGGGACCATTTAACAGGTGAGAAAACTGGAGTACGGACATGTTAAGTAACCTGCCCACGGTCACACAGCTAGCAGTGGAGGAGCTCAGATTTGAGCCAGGTAGTATGGTTTGAATTGTCGTCTTAGCCATCATGCCATACAGCATGAATAACAAAGAAAGCAAACATCTGGGCACTAGAACCCAGAGTAAGAAACAGAGCATTACTGGTATCTTCGCCATGCTTTGTGTGCTCTTTCTCATTCACATACTCTTACCTCTCCCTAGGATGTAACCACTATTCTCACTTTTGTGATAATTATCTTCCCTTTAAGTATTGCCATCCATAAGTGAACCTATAAACAATATATTTAGTTTTCATCGGTTTTTAAACTTTATCTAAGTGGACTCTTGCCATATATATTTTTCTGTGACTTTGTTTAAATTATTTATTCATATTGATGTGTGTAGCTTTAGTTTATTAATTTTAACTAGCTAGTTCAGGCTGCTATAATAGAATACTATAGACCAGGTGGCTTAAAAGTCAAACTTCTTACTGTTACAGAGGCTGTAAGTCTGAGATCAGGGTGCTAGCATGGTTAGGTTGTTGGTGAGGTCCCTCATCCTGGTTCATAGAGAGCCGCCTTCCTGCTGTGTCCTCACATGCTAGAGAGCAGAGAGACGAGAAATAAGCTCTCATTTCTTATAAGGGCACTAATCCCATCACCCCTCTGCCCTCATGACCTAATGAACTCCCGAAAGTCCCACCTCCTAATACAATACCATTTGGAATTTGGCTTCAATATATGAATTTTGGGGAGACACAAATATTCACTGTTGTCAGTTATTCCACTGTATAAATATTTGGCAGTTTATTCTATTGATGGATATTTGTGTTGTTTCTCTCTTTTTGCTGTTTTGCAGTGCTACTTTTAAAATTACGAGTCATGGTATACCTTTGCAAGTTAGATTTACCTAGGTGTGTGTACCTGGTAGTGGACTTGCTAAACCATTCATTGATGTTTCGTTTTCTTATGTGCGTATTCTAGTCCTTTGCCAGTTTTTCTAGTGGGTTTAGTGTTCCATAGACATTGTTTTCCAAATCTAGGTTCTAGTTCTTTGTGGGCCGTTGTTACAGATGTCTTCTTCTAGTATGTAACTTTAAAAATAACTTTATGACTTTATGATGTCTTTGGGTGGCTGGAAGCATGTAATTATTCTTCCAATGTTTATTCTCCCTTTTGATTTTTATGCTTTTTCTCGTTTATATTATTTTAAAAATGTACTTCTTGCCCTAGCTGGGTTGGCTCAGTGGTTAGAGTGTTGACCCTCAGACTGAAGGTTCCAGGGTTCGATTCTGGCCAAGGGCACATACCTCGCTTGCAGGCTTGATCTCCAGCCCCAGTTGGGGCGCTCGCAGGAGGCAACCAATTGATATGTCTCTCTCACATCGATGTTTCCCTCTCTCTCACCCCTCTACCCTCCCCCTCCCTTGTTCTCTTCCTCTCTCCCTTCCACTCTCTCTGAAAAGCAATGGGAAAAATATCCTCAGCTGAGGATTATAATTTTTGTTTTTTACTTCTTAACCCTTTACATAATTTCCAAACTTGGTATTTTGTGTGTATCATTTATCTTTGAATGGAGGCATTTCTGTCTTGACTTAGTCTGACAGGATGAATGGATCCCTGTTTGCCCTTTATGTTGTCCGTGGGTAGCACTTTACATGTTTTCAAAGAACTTTAGTTGGGCCCAGCCAGGCGTGGCTCAGTGGTTGAGCGTCGACCTGGGATCCAGGTGATCAGGGTTCGATTCCCGGTCAGGGCACATGCCCGGGCTTCAGGCTCAATCAATGACTCTCTCATCATTGATGTCTCTATCTCTCTCTCTCCCTTTCCTTTCCTCTCTCTGAAATCAATAAAGACATACTAAAAAAAAAAAAAAAAGAACTTTAGTTGGATGGATGGATATGATAGTGAGGTGGGGCAAGTGGTCATATGTAATTCATGTATTGCCTGTTATTTTCATACTTGATAGATAGGTCCTCCCTGTGTTTTGGAGGTGGAGTCTGCTAGGCTTTCTTCAACTTTTTGTCTTTTATGTAAGCAGGTCAGGTTGTAAGGAGGAGGTCCAGTTAGTGCATAAGCCTTGCTTCACAGTAAAATCTCCTGCCCACAGGCCTTTGTTCTGTTGCTTCAGTATTGATCTCTGTTCTGTTGACTTTGAGCAGCTGAGAAGCAGATTCTCAGATTATAGTTTCCTGTTTTTTGCCTCTCATTGGCCCTAGTCCATTTCATCTGGGATAAGAAATGGGATTTGAGAAAATAAAGTCTGAGTGGCTACAAGGTTCTTCTTTCAGCCCACTCTGAAGCAGTTCAACAGATTCTCCCTTGCCTTTTTCTACCACCATTTCTCATTTTAAGGAATGGATATTTAGGAAAGCATAGGGCCCTTTAAGACTGTCTTAACCTATGTGAGAAAAATTATAGCCTGCTTGAAATTTGTGGGGGTGGAAAGCTTTTAGATTGTGTTATCCTCCCTTAAGAGTTTGAATTTTAAATATGTTCCAGACAAGTATGTTCCCAAAGGGTAGGTTATATACATTATCCTTATCAGATTATTTTTATTCTCATTTTATATCTGTGAAAACAGACCTAGAGAAACAAGTAGGTAGTTAAGATGGTAAGTGTTAAGGGCCACTTAACCTGTCTGTCTGACTTCAGGGTCAACAGTCTTCATTGTGTCACACTGTGATGTTTTTGAAGATTTAGTATCAGAATTATAGGCAGGAAGAAATGGCTGGTAGGGACAGTTGGTACAACATGGCAGGGCTTTCTGATCTCCTTCCAATCCCAGGTCATCTGTATATTTTCCTTTAGTTCCATCTTCATTATTTAGCCTTGTCCAGTGGTCAGTGACTTCAGTCCTGCATAGGCTCACTTTTTTCTCTGCTTACCCTGTTTCTAGTTCTCCTATTTACGGACCCATTCACTGTTTTTTCCTTTCCTTCCAGTTCTCTTACTAATTCTAGAGACATCTTTAAAAGCTCGAAAATATGCCATGTATTCTCAGTTTTATTCTCATTCCCACATTATACAATTTCCAATCTCCCAGCACAGAAAGCAATGTGCATTTGAATTTTTTTTATTTTTTGCAGGCTGGGAAGCAAGACTTGAAACTAGAGCCAACTTCAGAGCTAACATTACTGAAGATTTATTCTATCGGGTAATAATGGAAAAGGAAGGTCTCTGGCATTCTTCTTTAAGGGAAACCTGGGAACCTGATAATTGGTTAGAGGGGCAACAGAAAAACCAGGATAGACATCTGGGTCAAGTGGCAGTTATCCATAAGGAAATCCTCACAGAAAGGAGAGTATGTAGGGGTAATGAGTTTGAAAGATGTTCCAGTCAGGGTTCAATCACTGATATACAACAAAGTATTCCTATGGGAAAAAGACCCTGTTATCAGAATTCACATGGAAAAGATATCAAACAAAATTCTGAGTTAATTAATATTCAAAGAATGTTTGTAGGGAAGAAAATCTATGAATGTAATGAATGTGGGAAAGCTTTCAGCCAGAGCTCATCCCTTCTTAAGCACCAGAAGATTCATACTGGGGAGAAACCCTATAAGTGTAATGTGTGTGGGAAGCACTTCATTGAACGTTCCTCCCTTACTGTACATCAAAGAATTCATACTGGAGAGAAACCCTACAAATGTAATGAATGTGGCAAAACCTTCAGCCAAAGCATGAACCTTACTGTTCATCAAAGAACTCATACTGGAGAAAAACCCTATCAGTGTAATGAGTGTGGAAAAGCTTTTCGCAAGAATTCATCCCTTATTCAGCATGAAAGGATTCATACTGGTGAGAAACCCTACAAATGTAATGAATGTGGGAAAGCTTTTACACAAAGTATGAATCTCACGGTGCATCAAAGAACTCATACAGGAGAAAAACCCTATGAATGTAATGAATGTGGGAAGTCTTTCAGTCAAAGTATGCATCTTATTGTACATCAGAGAAGTCATACTGGAGAGAAACCCTATGAGTGTAGTGAATGTGGAAAAGCCTTTAGTAAGAGCTCAACTCTTACCCTGCATCAACGAAATCACACTGGAGAAAAACCCTACAAATGTAACAAATGTGGGAAATCCTTTAGCCAAAGTACATACCTTATAGAACATCAGAGACTTCATTCTGGAGTAAAACCTTTTGAATGCAATCAGTGTGGAAAAGCTTTTAGTAAGAATTCATCTCTTACTCAACATCGGAGGATTCATACTGGAGAGAAGCCTTATGAGTGTATAGTATGTGGAAAGCATTTTACTGGGAGATCATCCCTTACTGTACATCGGGTTATTCATACTGGAGAGAAACCTTATGAATGCAATGAATGTGGAAAGGCCTTTAGCCAGAGTGCATACCTTATTGAGCATCAAAGAATTCATACTGGTGAGAAACCCTATGAATGTGATCAGTGTGGCAAAGCCTTCATTAAAAATTCGTCACTTATAGTGCATCAGAGAACTCACACAGGAGAGAAACCCTATCAGTGTAACGAATGTGGAAAAGCCTTCAGTCGGAGTACAAACCTTACACGACATCAGAGAACTCATACATGAGGAAAGTTTTCACTGTGACCTTTGCCATGATTAATTGTTCAGTGATAATCAGATAAGTCATGTTGTGTAGAAACCTAATGTAAAGATTTTAGGAATCTTTTAGTTGAAGTATCTTATAGCATATCAGATCATACAGAGAAACCACTGCAGAGAAACCATATGAAAGTAGAAAATCTTGATTGAATCAGAAAGTGAAATTTTGTATCAGGTTTAAGTAGCTGATATTCTAAACAATGAGGATTCATCATGCTGAAGATAAGTTCTGTTGTATCATACTGCAGATTCTCCTTTGGATGTTAGAGACTTCACAGTAGAGAGAAAATGTGAGAGTGCTTAACTGGACAGCCCAAAGACCTGGTATGTTCTTTGATCTGTCACTAACTTGGACAAGTCACCTACTTTCACCAGGTCACAGTGTCCTTATTTGGTAAATGAGGGATTTTGGATTTAGAAGGTCTCCAGGATCCTTGTAAGCTCTATAAAGCAACAAACCTATAAATATAATGAATGCTGGGACATCCTTAATCTTTTACCATGTTATATATGTTATTAGATGCCCCCATTTTACAGTCTGGTTTCCCTGGGTATTGTGAGTTAAAATGCTTTACCTCTACCAAATCCCATTATTATTCCATGCGCCCCCCCCCTTCTCCATGCATTATTTTCTCCCCTAAAAATATAGGGTGGTTGCTAACAGCTGATGAAATAATTGTATAAATCTTAATGCAACAGCATGCTTTTTTTTTTTTTTTTTTAATATATATTGATTTCAGAGGGAGGAAGGGAGAGGGAGAGAGAGAGAAAAACATCATTGATGAGAGAGTCATTGATCGGTTGCCTCCTGCATGTCCCCCAACTGGGGATTGAGCCCACAACCCAGCCATGTGCCCTGACCAGGAATTGAATCACGATCTCCTGGTTCCTAGGTTGATGCTCAACTGCTGAGCCATGCCCGGCCGGGCAGCATGCTATTTTGAGTCCTCAATTAACAGTCATTAAGTTGTTAAATAAGCTAATTATTTAGAAAACAATATAATTTAAATATAGTCTTTTCGTAAGATTCAAATACATATCTTTGTATCGTACTGACTATTGAAGTGGAAAGGAGAATAGGCTAAATACTAATGGACATGAAAATCTCACACATTAACAAAATCTTTGTAACTCAAAACATATGCAAAACAATTACAGAAGTTTTATAGACTTATAGGTATTATAGTAGTTAAGAGTTTTATTTCACACACATTTAGTAAGTGCTAAACATGTGTTAGATATGATTAGAAAATCAAAATGAATATGATATATTGTTTTCCAAGGTTTAAACTGAGAAAGTGATAGTGGGATGGGAGAGGAAAAATTCAAGCAAAAATGAGACAGAATCTAGATAACATGGTAACTGGTTAAATGTGAGCACTTGAATTTATTATTTGGATGTATAGGGGTACCATAATTAAAAATATAAAATTGACCAATTTTGTGGGGCAATGAGGAGTTCAGTCTGTGGGCATCTGGATGAGTCTGTGGATATCCAAGTGAAGATTCCTAATAGGCTGTAGAATAAGTAGTAGGACAATGATTAGAGGGTGCTCTGGGAGTACAGTAGTCCTCCATTCACAGTTTTGCTTTCCGCAGTTTCAGTTACTCATAGTCAACCTTGGGTTCAAAAATATTAAATGGAAAATTCCACCCTCCCCCCCCAATTTATGTTTTAAATTGTGCACCATTCTGAGTAGTTTGATGAACTCTTATGCCACCCCACTGCATCGTCACCTCATCACGTAGCCGTTGTATCATGTCACATCATCACAGGAAGGGTGAGTACAGTACAATGAGATATTTTGAGAGACCACATTCACATAACTTTATTACAGTATCTTATTAAAATTGTTTTCATATTATTGTTAATCTTTTACTGTGCCTAATTTATAAATTAAACTTTGTGTATTTATGGGGAAAAAACACTATATATAAGGGTCATTAGTATCCATGGTTTCAGGCATCCACTGTAGGTCTTGGAACATATCTCAGAAAGAACAGCCAAAAGAAACTTGAAAAACAGAAAAATCAGGAGAACATAGCAGCACAGAAGTAAAAGAATTTTTGCAGGGATAGGAATAGTTAATATTTTCAAACGCTACTGATAAAGTAAGATAAAAATAGAAATATTGCCTTTGGTTTTGGTTATTGATTACCTGTGTAAATTTTAATAGGTTAAAGAGTGAGTTAAAGTTTGAAAAGTACTTAGTAGCTTGCCTGGGAATGGTGAGTTTAGAAAGATAACTAGAGGGAGATTGAAAGAATGTACATCTATCAGTAGAGCTTTCAGCTACAAAAATGGAAAGCCCAGTTAACAATGACTTACAAGCAAATAGGGATTTACTGCCTCACATAATCTGGAGGTGGATGGCATTGGTTCAGAGACAAAACAATTCAGTGCCTTGAGTTTCATGGCTTTTCCATCAGGGTCACTTGGCTGCCATAGCTTCAGGTAAAATATCTGCATTTAATGCAAGAAGAAATGGAGTGGGTAGCACTAGCAACATCTCTGCCTTTTATCAGAAAAGGTTTTCCCAGAAGCCACTCAACAGACTGTTGATTATATCTCCTTGACCACAGCTGTGTTACATGGAGGCTAGTAGCAAAGGAGACTGAGAAAATAAACATTGGCCCTTGCAGCCTCTATAATGGGCAGGCAAAGAAAAGGTGGTTTGATAAAGGTGTTGACTTAGCCAACAATCTGCTGAGAGTGTGTCTGCAAGACTTAAGGTAGAAGAATTGAACATGTTTATCACCTAAAAGAGGTGTGGAGAGTCTAAAGGTGCAGAAGGGAGGGGATGTGCAGCTCAAAGTGGGAAAATAAGATTTGGAGCACAGGTAGAGGATATAGGAATCTTTTTCACTGGAAAGAAGGAAACTTTCCACTGGGAGAGGTGGTAATTGATGGATGCAGAAGATGTTTGTGGGCGGCAATGGAAGAGGTTCCCTGTGGATTCTCAGTGTTTGGACCTTGGGCAGTTCAGTCTCTTTGGACTATATGACCTCTAAGTTTTAATTCATGGAGTTTGAACATCAAAGACAAAGGAGAAATGAAACGCTGAATTAAATTTTTAATTTCTCTCCATTACACCCAGTTTCCTCCTTTCCCTTCACCTATTTTTCTTGTTCCTCACCTCCTTTCAAGAGATAGAAATAGATGGGAAGAAATGGGTAGAAAATAGAAGAAAGCAGCACAATAAAGCCTCAAAAGGAAGGCACAGAATAAGGGGGAGAGGATGAATGAAGTTATTGAAGCCAAAGATGGATGCAATAACTCAAAATTGATAAAATATTAACCCACAGAGGGAGCACCAGGACATGGCCCAGATAAATGGAGGTTTCACTACTTTTTCAGGAGTTTTGGAAGTCTTAGTGTATGTCAGTTCTTGGCCATCCTAGGCAACAAGTAATGATGACAACCTTTGCACCTTTCCTCTATCAACAGGTGCAGGACTCCTGGTTCCATGTACTAAACATGAGACATTGGGCAAGGCACTTAACATTGGTGCCTTAATTTTCTTATTTGTTAACAGTGCAAACCTCATAGCTTTGGATTACATTAGGTAACTAATGAAAAATGTTTATAAAAGTGTCCAATATGTAGTTAGTGCACAATGAATGTTATATTATCATCCTCATGTAGCTGAAAACAATAATATCCAAACTCCATAGCACAGTGTCCAGAAACCTTAATTATCTTAGAATGACAGGCTTTCAAAACATACCTTGTAAAAAGGTTATAATACTGGGAGTCAGTCCCTCCCCCAGACTGCTGTAATAGTCTAATAACTGGTTTTCCTGTATTCCCTCTAGCCCCACCATAGCCTGTTCTCCCCACAGCTGACCAGTGATTCTGTCCAAGTATGCTCGCCCATGTCACTATTTTACTCAAATCCCTGCAATGGTTTTCTATCACACAGATTAAATCCTACAATGGTCTCAAGGCTTCTAGTTACCCTTTGAACTTATCTCCCCCTCTCGCTTGTTCACCAGGCTCTCTCCAGTCATTCTGGTCTGCTAAGCCTCAAACTCACCAGGCACACTTCTCTGGACAACATTCCCTGTCCTCTCCTACTTAGAGGATTATTTTCCAGGTATTCACATGATTTCCTCCCTCACTGTGTTCCAGTCTCTGATCAATATTTTCTCAGAGAACTTCCCCAAACGGGACTTAATCCCCAGCCTCTGTCACACTCTATACCTTAACACAGCTTCACTGTCATCAGTATCTGATAAATATTTTTATTGCCTTCTTCCCCGAATACAATTAAACATGCGTAAGTGCTGGGCTGTCAGCCCCTCGAACAGTGCTTAACACATAAGTGCTCCAGGTGTCAATAAAACCCCAAACAATTCTGTAGTGTATATAAAGTCACTGATACGGCTTCCTAAGAGGTGGCCAACAGTTCCCCGACAAACCTCAGGTCACATACTTGAATTTTTTTTCACCACTGACAAAATTGAAACCCTCTCATCTTTAATTCCTGAAAACATGTATTCAAAGTCAAGTACTGTCGACAAAAATAAATACCACCCAGTGGTCCAAGAAGTCCTTGGCATCCAGGCTGCTTCCTCTCCTGGTAAGTCGCCAAGAACCCTCTCTATTCCACCTGCTCTGCGCTTCCCAGGCGCAGTGCCCGAGGCCACCGCCCAGGCCCCGAGCCTCCGCCGCGGCCTCCTCATTCGTCTGTGGTCCTTCAGCCCTTGTCCTCCGCCCGCACCCCACTTCTCGCGGAACCACTGCTGGCCCGACAGCCGGCCACACACGGTCAGTGTCGTTGCGTCCCCTGGGCGACGCACGGTCTCGTCGCCTTATCCGTCCTTGGCGCGGTCTGCTGTCTGGAACGCGCCTTTTCGGCTTGTTGCGTCCTATTCCGTCCTCCGGTACCGTTCCTGACCCGCTCTCCTCACCGGATCAGGCGCCGCTCTACCGGACTGACCTCACTTATCCCACCGTCAACTTCCCGCTAGTCTCTATCTTGAGCGTCCTTCAAGTTAGAGACCGAGTTCCAATCTGACCGGAACGGAACCAAAGCCGCAACTTCTTGTTAGCTTACGGGGAGTTATCTGCATGATGGACCGGCGACGCCCCGCTGAGGCCACTGGGAAATGTAGTTTCAGTGCAGAGCGCCTCTGGAACTGGCGGAGGAGGAAAGGAAGGGGCTCCAAGGGCGGGGCCCTGTCTGCTCCCGACCGCAATATTTTCCTCGGCCTCGCGCGGCTGCGGCGCTCGCCGCGGCGGATTTGCCAAATGGGAAGTGGTTTGGAGAGGAGAACCGTGCAGCCTTCGAATTTGTGGAGATCCGTCCCAGCGGATCCCAGGGCAATGCGCAAGCGCACTTCAGCCCCGGGCTGCAGACGCCAGCTCTTTGTGTTCTGCCGGCGATGTGGCGATTGCAATCTCTAGCCGCCAGCAGGGTCTCCTCGGCAACCCATTGGTGACCAGGCGCGGTGGCCAGAGCCTCATCGGGAGAGCTGGAGCAGCCGTGGGTGGTTGCGTACGAGGAGAAGAACGGAGATGAAAGCCCAGGAGGTCCAGGTCATGCTCCGTTCTGGAGGACGCTGATCTGATGCCCCAAACTTCTCAGATGTATGGCTAAGGTTTGATTCCAAAGAGAAAAGGGACGCCCAGGTGTGGGCTCTTGGGTCTCGGCCTCGAATCTGCGAGGGCCCTCGGAGGAGGATGCGGGCAGGGCTTCTGGCGTGCCTCCTAGAGCCGACCCCGGGAGGCCGTTTACGCCCAGGGGGTAGATGGTGCTCCTGATGGGGCTGGAACACTGTGTGGAGCCCTCTGAGAGGGCAGCAGAGCAGAGGGCGGGAGGGTTGTGTGAATAAGATTCCTAACCCCCTCCCTTCCCCGCCCTTCTCCCTCCCCTCCCAAATACACTGCTCATCTACCATTCACTCCAGATAGCCCAAACTGGGCCCCAGAGGAGGACAGACCTGAGGTCAGAGAAGGGCTTGGCTCTAGAAACTCGACAAAGGAGGGGAGGAAAACAAACAAACGAAAAAGATCTAGCCTTCTTAGCTTCCTTTTTGAGGAGAAAGAAGACGACCCTCCTCCTCCACTTCCTCCACTCCCCTCCCAGAATTAGGCAGCCGTCCAGCGAGGAGAGGCTTCGTTAGAGACCTGTCAGGGTAACTTAAGGGCAAAGGCCTGGGAGTCGGTAGAACTGGGGCTGGAGAGTGCTTTCTGCAAAAAGTCAGTGTATTTACGACATGGAATGGGAGATTCATTCGGAGGATTTGACTCAGATGTAGGGGAAATACTCAGGGTGGGTATCAGAATGGCGAGTGATTCCTTTCACCGTGGGTGTAGCAGAAATGCTCTCAGAAGGAAAGAGAATTGAGAGCAGACAGGGACTAAGAATTCAGGGCTGGGAGTATTTGGAGGACTCACAGGATGTGAATATTCACAGCCTCACTCCAGACTGCTGTGTGCTTTCTCTTGATCCAGCCCTCTCCTCATAACAGATGTGTAGAAGTTTCTGCCTGAGGAATCCTACTCTGCTTGTTCCTAAAAACGCTCATGAGAGAAGAAGAAATGGCTGTGAGGCACCTGCCAAACATGGTTCAGGTGAGTGAGGGGTTGCTGTGGAGTGCTTTCCCACACACCGAATTGCCTTAGATTTCAATGTAGAGGTTTGGAGAGTGTGGACATGTTTCTTTTTCCTGACCAGAGGTTTTTCTTCTGATCCAGACTCATTCAAAGGCTTGACTCAGTCACTACTTTCTCCCCCCTCCCTCTTGTCAGGCTCATCCTAGTGGGTGTCATCCAAGCTAAGGAACTTGTTAAAGGTCACATAAGTGATAACTGGAACTGGAACCCAGGTTGGTCCAAAATAAACCTGCATTCTTTCTACTAGCAAGTAAGATTAGGGGTCTAAAGTGGTAAAGGCTGTGCCTAAGACAGGAGTTGAGAAGAGAGATTGGAACACTTTCTTGGGGAGGTGGGATTTACTGGTCTCTCTTAACAAAAATATAATGACAGATGGCTTTTTACTTCAGAGGAATATTGCATACCAATGAAATAATTTTAAAAATGTGGTACATATATGAATGGAATATTACTCAGCCATGAAAAATAATGAAATCTTACCATTTGTGACATGGATGGACCTAGAGGGTAACATGCTTAGTGAAATAAGTGAGTCAGCCAAAGACAAATACCATATGATTTTACTTATATGTGGAATCTAAAGAACAAAATAAACAAAACAGAAACGGACTTATAGAAACAAAAAACAAACTGATGGTTGCCAGATGGGAGGGGTATGGAGAGCTGGGTGAAAAAGGTGAAGGGATTAAGAAGTATAAGTTGGTAGCTATAGAATGGTCACAGGGATGTAAAGTGTACAGCACAGGAAATATAGTCAATAATACTGTAATAATTATGTATGGTGCCAGGTGGGTACTAGACTGACTTATCAGGGGGAATCACTTCATAAGTTACATAAATGTCTAATTACTGTATAATATTGTTTGTCAACTATAATTATAATTTTTTTAATTTTAAAAAGATTATGTTTTCAATTTCAATTATTTACTAAAAGGCTTTAAACAGAGCCAGTCTCTATAGAATAAGGGTATGGACTCTGAAGGAGGCAACGTTCATTTGAGTGTTTAAATTCCAATGAGTTTGGTTAAATTTTTCTAACTCCTTCATATTTAAGCCTGTCCAGGATAGGAATCTGTGGTAGAAATCTTTGAAAGGGATTTGCAGCTGGTTGAAGGTGCCATGTTCAATCCAGTCACAATTCACCAGCTACTTACCCTCCTGCTCCCAATTTCTGACTTGTCCTTTGGGATCCATCTCAACCACCACTTTTTCTGTGCAACTGGTCTCCATGGTGCCAGTCCACTGTGGTATTTCTCTTCCCTGACCATCTTCTCAAATTCTTTGTTGGTGTCATACAATTATCTTATGTTTACAACCTGCCTTAATTTGATTGCCTTTCAACAGACCTATATTAGTTAGGCATGGAAAATATGCCATGTGGAGGGGTAGCCACCAGTCAACAGGGATGGGCTTGCTGTTACAGGAAACAGTGACCTTCAAGGATGTGGCCGTGCTCTTCACCCAGGATGAGTGGGCACAGCTGAACCCTGCTCAGAGGGCCTTGTACAGGGATGTGATGCTGGAGAACTACAGCCACCTAGTCTCGCTGGGTAAGTGGGGAGCCTCTGAAGGCTTATCTTTACATGTGGACATCTCTCTGGGACCTTAAACTGGTAGCACATAGCAGATTGTGCTGGGCATAGCCTGACTGAGGATGTTAGTTTTAAGTCTATGACCTGCCTACCCTTGGTGTCCCAGGCACAGGATTCTTTTGGAGCCTAGAGTGAGTAGGGGTTGAATCCTCCTTCCCTTTGGCAGAGAGCAGGACATGGGAACAGGCTGTGTATGTATCAGGCCTGAGCCATCTTTTTGCCCTCTGGGAACTTATCTCTACCCTGGGCCTTCCCATCAAGTCACCTTTGCCAGGAAGTTCTGAGGACCAGACCTCTTCCTTGCAGTGAGTTTTTTCTGTAGCATCAACAGATATGGTCCATTTTTTCCCCCCTCAAAAACAGGGCTCTTAGGACCCAAACCAGATCTGTTTGCCCAGCTGGGAAAAGGGGAAGAATGGACACCAGAAGACGCCTCCCGAGGCTTCTGTCTGGGTAAGACCCTGCGCGTGGGAGGCATGGAGAGAAACTCAGCAAATGTGCCTGGCCCAGAAATGAGCAGCTTCTGTAGACCTAGAAATGAGCATCTTCTCCCTTTTATTCAACTAAATACTTTGTTGCTACATTTGTCTCTGCATGTGTCACTGCTTTCTTTTGGCAATTTGTGCCTCCCTAGACCTTCTTCTCTGGGATTTTTCTTCTCTTCTTATCTGGCATAGATTAATCATCTCTGGTTTGGAAAAGACCTTACATGTAATCTGGGCAGCTCCCCGACCAGGTTCCATTGTCCTGTTCAACACTTAACAGTGCAGTCTCTGTTCCTACTCCTCCGGTGAGGAGGAGCCACTCTGGGTCACACACAGCAGGGCAGCTTCTTCATGGTTATGAAGTAACCATGTGCATCCTGAGGCCGCTCTTCTTCTGGCTAAACATTGCACATTTCTTCAGTTGCCTCCCTATTTGTTCATACACATGTACATGCATTCAATCAGCATACAATTACTCTCCACCTTTTGCAGTAGTGCACTGGGCTGTAAGCACCATGAGAGCGCTGCCAGGTCCATGGTATATTCTGCTGTACCACTTACACCCAGCATCTTAATACTTAGCATCTGGTCAGTGGCAGAGACTTGTTGCTTAGGGATACAGAAAACCTGGCAGTTAATGGCCATTACTTGTCTTGAGGAGCCCGTTGAATCTGGTAGCTTAAGAACAGGAGCAGGGGTGCCTCTCCTACCCTTCAATCTAGAGAGCTTATTGCCTTATCTAATATATTACAACATTTCACTTTTACCACCACACTTGCAGGCTATAAAATATTTATATGCATATATATTTAAAAACCTTTTGTTACTGCTGTTTCACAGTAGTCCAGTGAAATAGGCAGGAATTTATATCCTACAGTAAATAACTATATACCTGTAAGGTCTAGGATCCAATTTGTTATGGAATTTAAATGTCTTAACCCAAAACAGTTATAAAAAAATATTTTACCCCAATAGCATTCTGAATTTGTATGTTTTATTACAACCAAACTAAGGCATTTTAGTATTTCATTCTGTATTACACAAGCAGTGTTATAACAAACAACGGGGAGGGGAATTAAACAAAGTAATTCACTGTCCTACCACTCTGGCATCATGAATCTATTCTTTTTTTTTTTTTAAATATATCTTTATTGATTTCAGAGAGGAAGGGAGAGGGAGAGAGGGAGAGAAACATCAATGTGCCCTGACTGGGAATCGAACCATGATCTCCTGGATCCCAGGTGAATGCTCAACTGCTGAGCCACGCCCCAGCTAGGCATGAATGCATTCTTCAATTTATTCGTCATTAACACTAGTTCGTTCTTTTTTTTTTTTAATCCTCACCTGAGGATATTTTTTCCATTGTTTTTGAGAGAGAGCGGAAGGGAGGGGGAGAGACACAGAGAGAGACATGTTGATGGGTTGCCTCCTGCATGCGCCCCAACGGGGCCTGGAGATGGAACCTGCAACCGAGGTACGAGGCCTCGACTGGAATTGAATCTGAGACCCTTCAGTCTGCGGGCTGACTCTCTAACCATTGAGCCAAACCTGCTAGGCCTTATCCACTGTTGTACTCTTGGCTTAGAATAGACACTTATTTGTAATTAGAACAAGAAAAAGTTCTGATAGATAGCTTTTCTTCTAATTTCTCTCTTCTCTGGGCCATGAGCTAGTAGGAGGAGAAAGCTGACTGAGTCCTTGTGGCAGGGCACCATGCTGGGTGACTTCTGGGGATTTATGTTAGCTGCCCCGTTTAATAATGACAACCTCTGAGGCAAGTATGATTAACCCCAGTTTACAGAAAACTGAGTCTCAGCCTGGTTAATTAATTTGGATGGATTTAATGTTACTATTACATGGCAAGTCAGGATTAGGGTGAAGCTAGCATGAAACCCATCTGACCCTCAAACTGTGTCATTTTCCTCCTTCTCCAAAATAGCTTTAGTTACACACAAATTGTTTACTCAGTAAATCTAAAGAAAACTACTTGACCCTTTAATTTGGGTAGTTTGTTAAAAGCTTTTTATATTTTTTATTTATTAATTTGTTTAGGTTTCATTTTATTATATCAACTGTACTTCTTACACTTTAGCTTTAAATTAATATTTTTTGAGCTGTAAAATGTATTCATTTATAATTATGCATGATATGTATTTATACTTTCAGTATTTTTATATTATGGCTTCTTTCTCATTTCTGATTTTACTTGCATTTCTTTTTCTCTTAAATTTGTTGGGAATTTTTTTTAGAGAATGAGCTCTTATTTCTCTGACAAGTAATTTTTAAAAATATATATTTTTATTGATTTTTAGAGACAGAGGAAGGGAGAGGGAAAGGGAGAGGGAGAGAGAAACATTTATGTGAGAGTGAAATATTGATCCGCTGCCTCCTGCATGCCCCCTGCTGGGGACCAAGCTCACAACCTGGGATGTGCCCTGACTGGGAATCGAACCGGCAACCTTTCAGTGCACAGGACAGTGCCCAACCAACTGAGCCACACTGGCCAGGGCTCTGACAAGTAATTTTATTTCTACACTTAGTATTATTATTTGCTTTTTTTACCTTAAAATAAATATATTTTGAATACTGTATATCCTAGATACAAAAGAGGATATGTAATATTTTTTGAACAGTTCAAAGAACTAAGCAATAACACCCATACCCCACTGTTCAGCTTAAGGAACAACATGGAGGCATATGTGAAGCCCAGTGTGTACCCCTTCTTCCTCCCTTCCTCCTTTCATACCGGAGAGCCACTAGCTTGGATTCTTCCCTAGCAGCTCTGTGCTGCTCTTCATGGTTTTACCACATTTATCATAGTTCTCAGCAATTTTGCTATAAAGCTTGATATATATGTATTGTACTATAGATATCTTTCCACAACTTCTATTTTTTAATCCTTGTTGAGGTATGTAGCTCTGGGTCTTTTTAAACTGCACTTTGATATTTCTTCAATGACTATCCCTTAATTTATCCTTTCTCTTGTTGATAGACCTGGAGGTTGTTTCAAGACTTTTTGTTGTTTTGAATAGTGCTGACCTGAATGTTCTTGTACATACTTCCTTTCATATACATGGGCCTTGTTTGGGACTTTCTTTAGTGTACTCATACATGTAGAAATACTGGGTTTAAGAGTATATGCTTCTTCAGCTTTCCTAGATTTTCCCAGATTGCTAATCAAATTAGTTTCAAATTATACTAATAGTTGATGTAAGTTCCTGTTACCTTACATTCTCTCCTTTTTAAAAATGTTTTTATTGATTTCACAGAGAGGAAGGGAGAGGAAGAGAGAGATAGAAACATCAATGATGAGAGAGTCATTGATCGGCTGCCTCCTGCACGCCCCCTACTGGGGATGGAGCCCACAACCTGGGCATGTGCCCTGACCGGGAATAGAACCCTGATCTCCTGGATCCTAGGTTGATGCTCAGTCACTGAGCCATGCTGGTCGGGCCTGTTACCTTACATTCTTGCCAAAATTTGGAACTTTCAAACTTTAAAAAATTTTCCTAGCCCCATTCTTGAAAAATGGTATCTCATTGTGGTATTAAATTGCATTTCCTTGTTTACTAGTGAAGTTGAACATCTTTTTACATATTGATTATTTGTGTCCTATAACTTTCATATTTATGTTCTTTGCCCAATTTTCTATTATCTTGTTCTTATTCATTTCTGAGAGTTTTATATATTTTCAGGAATCCAATACTTTACCAGTTAATATATATTTCAGTCTATAACTTGTCTTTTCTCTTTATTTACTAACAGAAATTCTTAATTAATGAACTAGAATAGATCAGTCTTTATAATCTTTTTCTTAGTGCTTTCTGTGTCCTGTTTAAATAATCCTTTCTGCCCTCAGATCCATGAGGGAAGGACTTGGTCTTGTTTGCTCTTGTGTCCCCAGCACACCAGGTCCCAGTATCTGTTTGTTGAGTGAAAGCATGGATTTCTAATAATATTTACTTTTGTCTTTTTTCTGTATAAGTCTTGTCAGAGGTTTGCTTTTTTAGTAGACCGTTTAATGAATAAATGTTTGACTTAGCTGATCCTTTCTATTTTATCTTGATCTGGTTCATTAATTTTTGCTTTTCCCTTATTTCTTTCCTGTGACTTTTTGGAGTTTATTCCGTTCTTTTTTTATTTTTAGAATTAAATTTTATAAAAGTAATACATTAAAAAAAATATATTTTTTGACTTTTAGAGAGAGAGAGGAAGGGAGAAAGAGAGAAACACTGATTTGTTGTTCCACTGATTTCTGCGTTCATTGGTTGATTCTTGTATGTGCCCTGACCAGGGATCGAACCCGAAACCTTGGTGTATCAGGACGATGTTCTAACCAACTGAGCTACGTGGCCACGACCTAATTACACGCATTTAGTTTAATGAAACTACAGTGTTTATTATGAAAAACAGTGGCCCCTTGTCCCCTCTCTTCCACTTTTTCTTCTTTTAGCTAATTATTTGGTCTATTTGCTTTCATGTCTCCAAGTAACATGTTTGTATTGCTGCCTCTTGACTTTTCAGTTTTAGACGTTATTTATTGAATTCCTTCTATAAAAAGTGAAGATGAAACTTGCTGCCCCAAGTAGTCATCTTACTGCCTTTTCATTCCCTGTGTTCCCAGTAGAGTTGTAGAGTCATTTTGGTCAGAGTAATAATCAGTGTTTACATCCTTAAGCACTATTCACAAAACTGATCCATATAGTAACTTATGACAATGTTTGTTTTCCTCAGCAATCCATTCCCAGCGTTCATTGGTTCGTAGTTTCGTTTAATCTCGGCCCTTCTCCAGTTGTCTTCATCTCTTCTCAAGACTTTCAGATTCATCAGGCAATGTGACAGTTTCGTTTTCCTGGAAAAGCCTCTTCTGGAGCGTGTGACCTGCTCCATTCTAGAGCAGCTGGTGCCCAGCTCTCATCTTCCTGCAAAGCCCCTCATTCCTGGCTTCATGTCCCGTGTCATCTTCCT